CTAGCATCCGTATGGTAATCTGTGGGGGAAACCTAGCACCTGGAAAAGAACAGTAATGAAGGAAGGGTTTAAGCAGAAAGTACCTACAACAAAAGCATGTTTTTGTATTTTTTTAAAGATTTTATTGGGGAATTAGGGGAGGGGAACAGTGTTGGGGAATGGGGGAGGGAAACAGACAAGTTGCTGTTCTTTTGTTCTTCAGTCTAATTGTGAAGGACGTCGTTTCACTGACCCATGTTGGTATTATCATTGCGCTCTCCCCAGGTGAGGCAGTCGCCCGCCAGCCATTGGATGGCCATTCACGGTGGCTCATGGCAGCTCTTGAAAGCTCATGCCCGCTGCTGGCCAGCCCCACTGCAGCCTATGCCGTTGCCAGTGACTCATGACAGCCCAGCTCCAGGTCGAGCTGTTGTTCACCATCTTAGCTGTAGAGGGCGCAGTGTCACTGGCCCATGTGGGAACTGAACCGGGGCCCTGCTGCTCAGAGCTGGCGTCCCAAGCCAACTCCTAACGAACGTGCCACTTGGCCAGCCCAAAAGCATGTTTTTTGACACATGTACCCATGCAGAGGGAAATTTGCTGAAAGCAATAGACTTCTGGGGTGCTACACAGACCTCTTTGGTGGGCTGCAGAGCTGGCAACAGAAGAGGGGAGTGTAACTCCTTCCGAAGTCACCAGACTAGACTATTTAGAAGAGCAGTGACATGTCAACATATTTAAGGAAGGGAGCTCTTCTTATAATTATAGATAAACAGAAATAACCTGAAATCCAGGCAGAATTGAGAAAATGAGTCCTTCTTAGCCAGTGCAGTACCTGAAGTAGATGCAGCAAGTCCTTCTAGGGGTGATGGCAATTATGGTGGAAACTGGTGGATATTGTGACTTACATTTACGATGCGTCATAATTTGAACACAACTGCCAGTTCTTTTAACTGAGACTTGACTCATTCTTTTAAAGGTGAAAAAGCCACATAAATCTGTGAGGAAAATGAAATGTTTTCCCAAAAGACACAGAAATAACACATCAATCATCACAGGTCACTGAGAATTTTCAAGAAGATGGTTGATTAGAGGTATGTTTGATACATTAAAGGTAGCTCTGAGATCAGTGGCACAACTGGAAAATAATGTAATTCTCAAATTGGTAAGTAGTAATTCGTGTTGTTTGCATCTCTTAGTCAAATTAAACTATCCTGGATATAAGCTCAGGAAGGCAAAAATAGTTCTAGAAATTCTTGGGAATCATATAACTTTAGAGGAAGAGGGAATCATTACAATTCTTTCATTTTTTAATCTCCCGTTGTATAGACAATGAAACTGAAGGTGAGTGATTTGTGTGTTGTTACACAGGCCTCGTCGTGGTGGAGCAAAGCCCGATTTCCACGCAGGTCTCCTACCTCTACCATGTCCTGTGTTTGTTACCTCTTGTTCAGTCTACTTTGTGATGTCCTATTGGATCTCGTTAGGTCTTAAAGGGTGACTTTCTGAATTTCATTTTTTGGTCTCAGGTTAGGGTTAGTTTGTAAGTGCTTCAAGATGGTGGCCCATTAATTGGGGCTTTTATTATGTGTATGGCCAATGCCTTTCATCATCAAAGTTATTCCAAGATACGAGAGCATAAAATAGGCAAAATAATTGCCTGAGAACTCCAATTTCGTGACACATACCATTTTTATGAAACAAAAGCAGCTTGGCAGATTATTCATTTCTCCCGAGAGGTTTATTCAAAGTTAAAAATAAGTTGGGAAGGGGAATTTTCATTTTAACAATCTTTAATTACCACAGTTGTTTTAGGGAGAGCCATTGAGGAGGGCAGGAATACTGGTAGGCAGTCATTTTATTATACATGGACTCTGCTCAGTGCTCTTACAATTTGGTCTAAGTGACTCTTGTTAAAATATGGTTGCTATAAGGAAATCCCTTTCCTGCTAGTTATTATTTTGAATACTAGTATTACTGTCTTTTAAAATAACTTCTCCTATTATTAATTTCACACTCATAATCACAACACTCCTGTGAGGTAAGATGAACAGTTATCATTATCCATATTTAACAATGAGAAACTTAAGGCACAGAAAAGTTAAGCAGATTTCTGAAGTTCACAGCTATTTGGTGGAATAGGCAGGTCTAGAATTCAGGTCTTTTGACTTCCAGCCAAATTTCTTTCTCCTGGACAAGTTCTTTTGATTTCAACATTTTAAAAAAGGACCTTATTTGTTACGTTTCTTTTAAAAAATTTATTTCCCAATTACAGTTGACATACAATATCGGTTTCAGGTGTATAAAACAGTGATTAGACATTTACATACCTTATGAAGTGATCACCCAATAGGTACATTTCTTATAATATTTCACTGTTTTGTGTCTATAAATGTTTCTTCTTTCAATTATAAATATTGTTTACCCTTTGTAGAACCCCACACAGTCCCCTAGACATAGCAAGTGCTCAATAAATATTTGTTTTTAGGAATTAAGAATGTGAAAATCACTTGTATAAGATGGATGTTATCTGAGATAGGACAGTGAGACACCATATATAATTAGTTCAATTTCTCCCTTCATCACCTTTTAAGAGCTTCTGGTCTAACTAGCAGATACTGGTTAGAAGGCTGGCATCAAATATATGCTCTCATCACTGAGTTAGTAGCTTAAAATATGGACCTCAGTTTCTTCGTTAAAAACATAGAGATGTAGTATTTTTAATATGAAAAAATAGTTTCCATTTCCAGAATGCCCTTATATTTCTTGAATGGTAATTAATATATTTTAAGTCTTACCATGCACAAAGCACAGTTCTGAGGTCTCCCTATAGGTAAAATTTATTTATGAATTATAATTTATGAAATATAATTTATGCTGTTACTATGCTCATTTTCATACATGAGGAAACTGAGGCTTAGAAAGGTGAAGTAACTTGCCCAAGATCCTGCAGCTAATAAAAGGCAGAGATAGCTGAAAACCTACTGCTGTCTGCTCCAAAATCTAACCTATTTTTAATACTACACTATATGTTACCTAGAGCTTTACGGCTGTGACACAGCTAAATTTTCCAGATGGCTAAAATCCTGCCCATTATATTATAGACATTAATTTCATATAGTCGTCCCCAACAAACAGAGAAGTATGTCCTGTCACGTCCTACTAAAAAAAGTTTACTCTAAGAAACTCCTTTTTAGAGATACTATTTGTTCTAGGCCTGAGATTGTTATCTTTATGCTACTTACTTTAGGTTGTAATATGTTCCCAACACCCACCTTTTAAGTTTTTGAACGGTATTCCAAATTTTCCTTCAGTTTGTACGCTCAGCCACTTGTATACTTTCTTTCCACTTCCCCAAAATGGAAAAAAAAAAGGGGGGAAAAAGACATCATTTTCTAAGAGTATATTAATAGAGGGGCCCAGGTTATTGGGACAAATATGCTCCAATTTGTAGCCCATTGAACAGGTTTGCTCTCTATCAACCATAACTCCCCTTGGAACACTACCGCAAGGAGAACTAAGGTCCTGGCTTGTTGATTCTTCCTTCTATCCTTTATCCAGCGAGGGATGACAATCTACCAGACTAAGATTATGTTAACTAAACATTCAAAGAATGCTAGGCAGGAAGGGATTGAATTGATAAATTCAACTGCCTCCTTTTCAGAGGGACCACTGAGCTCGAGGCATCACTCATGGAAGCTCAAGTATTCTTACTTGTGCTCTCATCATCCAAGACTCCACAGTAGTAACTGAGTAGACTGGACACCTGATAGCTGATGAGAATTTCTTTTCTATCTACGAGGACAGGGTTTCAGTGTGAGGAAGAAGAGAGCCTAGTGTCTAAGAGTTAAACTGAAGGTAGAGTACTTGGATAACAATTCTTTTCTCTGCTATTTATAAGCTGTGCATTCTTGAGCAAGTTACTTAACTTCTCTGGGACTCAAGCTTTTAAAGCAGCGTTTAAAGCATTAAAGCATTAACCATTAGCTATTTCTACCAAAAATTTCAGACAGTTAAATCCTTGAATTTTGAGTTCTGATAGTCTCCTCCAGCACTCCTCCTCTTATGAAGTCTTCTAAACAAAAGTTGACACTTGCATTTTCAAGTAACTCAAATCGTTTACTTTGATTACGTTTGGGCAAGTAGATTAGATATATACATAACACGCAAGCCACCACATAGACTAAAGCTATGTGGAAACGCCCGCAATGGAAGGGTCTGGGGATGAAGGTGACTCGGGGATGCGGAGATGCGTAGAAACAGCGTTCCTGTCTGAGAAAGGCGGGCCCCTCAATGACCGGAGGTTGGCCACCGAAGAGCTTAATGCAACACACCGCAGGTGCAGGTGAGACATTCTTGGAGTTGGCCAACCCCACCAGAGCCGCCCACTCTTGGAAGGCCCAGACAGGCTTGAGGGTGACTGAAACTTCACAGCAATCCTTAAGACAAAAGAACTTCTCATCTAGGCCACTGCTTTGGTTTGTGGCCCTCATCCCGGCCGTAGGCTCTGTCCCCAACTTCCCCGAGCGCTGGCTAGACGGTCCCCTCATGTCGTCCCTTTGTCTGGAGGACACCCCGTTCCCCTTTGTTGTCCACGGTCCCTCCAAGAGAGAGGTGGGCTGGCCGCACCTTAGGGGAACAGGAATAAAGCAATGAGACGGAAGGCGACCACCACGCCCCCACCAAGTAACAGAACCCACAAGTCTCCCGCGCGTGGCATCCGGGCCGCCCCACTCCCCCTCGGCCCGGGCCTGGCACGGGGGCGGAGCGTGGCGCGGCCGGCGCCCTCTGATTGGCTGCGGCTGTCGGGGCGCCGCGCCGCGATTGGGCCGCGGTGCTGTCTGGTGCGAGGGCGCGCGAGGTGGGGAGGGGGCGGCTGGAAGCTGCTGGAAGTCAAGGGGAGGGGCGGGCGCGCAGACGGTCTCGGGCGCGGGCGCGGGGGGAGGGCCCAGCCGGTCACCGCCCCCGGCCCCTCCCTGGCTCCGCCCCGCGCCGCCCCGACCGCTGGCGGCCAGGGGGCAGGCGCGCCGGCTGCATCCCCATCCTCGGCGTCGCCCGGCACAGCGAGCGGGAGCGAGGCGCGGGCGGCCGGAGCGCGGCAGGCGGAGCGCCAGGCCGGCCATGGCCACCACCAGCACCACGGGCTCCACCCTGCTGCAGCCCCTCAGCAACGCCGTGCAGCTGCCCATCGACCAGGTACCCGAGGCGGCCCTGCCGGCGTCGCGCCCTCGCCGCCCCTGCGCGGCCGGGTGCCATCCGCTCGGGACCCGGGACCTGGGGCGCAGGGCTGGGGCGGGGGCCCGCCCCTGAAGGGAGGGGGCGACCCGCCTGTTATTGTCCGCCCGCCGCCTGGCACTGGCCGCCCCTCCCCGGCGTGGCGTGCCCACCCAGCCCCCATCCCGGCCCTTGCCCGTGCAGGCAGCCCGGGGGGGCTCCGGGCACCGACGTGCGCGCGTGCATGCTTGGCTCTGCTCTCTGCCTGCCACAGCAGCGCCCGGACCCGGGGCGCGTGTGCAACGGGCAGTCGGCGACCCGGAGTCCCGAAGTCGCCTCCAGTGTGTGTGGGCGCGGGTGTAGACAGTGTGGAAGGACTGTGCTTTGGGGAAGCCCCGGTGTTTGTGCTCTGCGCGCGTGGCACCCGGTGCCCGACGGGGACGCGGGGTGGATGTGCCTAGGTGGAGAGTGCTCTGGACCAGGCGTAGGAGGTCCGCTTAGGGGTCAGCGACCCGCGTGCGCTTTGGGACAGTTTGAATTGAAGTGCGGCTAATGTAAGAGAGAGACAACAGTTTGGTGGAAGGCAGAGGTTATGAAGAAAAGTCAAAGTGAGTTAATAATCCAAGGATTTTTAGCTGAGAAAGTCGCAACCTTGTAGCTACAAGCCACCCTATTCCCTCTCTCCCATCCCTCGAAAAAGCCTCTGACCCTGTATCGTGGAGGGTGGCATTTAAATAAGACCAGTTGAGTTTGTGTGAAAGGCCTAAGGATTATTGTGAAATAAACAATATTGGGATGCGTAAAGTAGCTCCACGATTACTCAGAAAAGAAAGTTGGGAAGTATTTTGTCCGAGTGACATTTAGGGAAGTTGTTGATGGGGCTAAGTAATTGCTCTAGCTCCAAGCTAAGGCAATTAACTAAAAATTTTGCTTAAAGTTATTTCAAGTGTATTTGATATAGAAGCATTTGCACTTTACAAGGACCCTGGTTCACTGTCCTCTTGAATGTGTAGCTGTCATGGATGTCTTCAGGGATTTCACTTATAATACAGGATTTCTCTGTGTCCAGACTACATCTCATAGCAGCGAGATGGGAACGACTCTGCAGCCTAACATTATGACAGTAACTGTTTCGTGCGCTACTGTTTATGTGCTCTACTGAGTATGTCCAGTGAGTGAAAAAAATTCTACCTTCTATTCAAACCTGAATTCCTGACTTATATGTCAGTCATAACTTTTGGTTCGTAGGAAAATACCTTGTCCCCACACATCTTGAACAACAGTTTAATGTGTATCATGCTAACAGATTAAAGTTGCAGTAGTGAAATTAATTGTGCACTACAAGAAAAGTAGTCAACGCTGCTTATTATTACACTGATCAGAACTTAGGGTTTTCCTGGGGAGGACTCTCGCTTTTCTGAACTGAAGTACAGTATATGCCCTTTTGGTGTATTATGCATTCCACTCCTGACTTAAGTGGGTTGCTGCCAGAGTATCAGCAAAATGCAGGGTAGGTATCTGTTTAAAAATTTTTTTTGCTGATGAAGAGCAAGGTTTATTTTAGGGAGACAGATATATTCACATTCTCCCTCCATCCTCCTCTACCTCCCTCCTTTCCTCCCTCTGTGTGTCTCTCCTGACCATGATGAAATATTTTCTTTACTGGGCTAAAACCTTTTAACTTATATAAAGCTTATCTTTTAGAAGTGATTTAATATTAATGAACTCATTTAAACATCTCAGTAATCCAGAGCAAGCTCTTCTCAGTCCTGAAAAAAGCAGGGGAATCCAGGAAACGCGGCAGGACTTCAAATTTGATTTTGCTTCTTTATTATCTACAGCCTTGGTTTGGTACTGTGGACAGTCTTCAATTTGTAGAGCTATGTGTATGGTATTTGGAGTTGTTTTCTCGTCTCCGAGCAGGTCTTAAGAATATTGGGTTACTATTATCAACAAAAGCTTTAACTTTGTACATAGTGATAATAAATTGATTCTTTGAAGCACTGAAGAGTTGACTTTTTTGTTGATAAAGCTTGTGGAATAACTAAAAACTCTTATTGTAAAGTGAGATGAATGAACAGTCATTTAGCCATTATTTTAAAATTGAGCAAAATAGAAAATAGTTTTTGTAACATTTAAATCATTGAGTCCAAGTTGACAGAAAGCTTAAGAATTGGTTGTAATCAAATAGTGTGATTCAACAGGAAAAAGACAAATCGGGAAATGCAAAGTGTAAAAATATAACTTGTTAGTATGTTAATTGGGTATGTACTAATTTACAGTGTTTTGAAAATTGAGGAAATTATAAAAGTAGTTGTTTGATGTCAGAGGAAGAGCGGGACCATAGGGCCAGAAACGTAGTTTAACTTTGTTACTAAAGTGTAGGATTTCTGAAACGATACACATTATTAGTCTGTATGGAATATAAACATGTACATTGCAGGTAAGGTAGGAGAGAAAGGAGGAAATAAATATTTTGCAATAAGACCAGGCAAGGAAAAGAAGCAAAAGATGTTGCCTTAGATTCTTGGATGTTGAACCTCCCCTGAGAATTCCAGAGTGACCTTGCGGTCACCATAGTATTTGTTCAATAGGTCTTAAATTTAAAAATATAAAATCTAGTATCGAGCAAGGTTCAAGAATGCTTTAAAATAGGAGATATCTAGCATGTTATCTGTCTCCCATTTCCAGGCCTTGCATTCCAGGTGACTTTATTTCTGGGGTGGTTCTCATTAAAGGGATATATGGAGGGTGGGTTCTGAGGAATACCTGGGCTAAGGGAAAGCTATGCCAAAGACAAGGGACACGTGCGCTGTGGAGAAGACATCGGATGCCATTGGAAATAATTGTGTGCTGTATGAGTTGATGTGAATTTTCAAAAGACCCCAAAGTGAGAAGTATCAAACAGAATAACTACATGTCCCAGATCAACCTAGTTTTTAGGTTTTTTTTTTTTTTTTAACCTCAACATATCATTTGTTTTGTTGCGTTTGATTTACCTAAGTCTCTGAGTTACCATGCTGAGGTTGCTCTGCAGCCCTCTTCTTTCTCTCTCTCCCTTCCTCCCTCTCTTTTTTCCGTTTTATTTATTTACTTTTTTGGAGAGGGGAGTGGAGGTGGAAAGATGTGATTCATTAGTTCTTCTCCCATTGCTAAGTCAGCAATGCAGATACTCCAGGTGAGGACCATGCAGGAGGTGCCAGGTTTTCTTCATTCAGCAAAATGGTATTGAAGCATCCACCACCTGGCAGCCAAGTGTGCACGAGGGGTGGCCTTTTTTTTTTTTTTAATTGCGGTATAATTGACAATATAGCATTATATTAGTTTCAGGTGTACAACATAATGACTCTATGTGTATATATTGTAACATAATTACCATAATAAGTCTAGTTAACATTCATTAACAGCCCTAATGAAACATATTTTCCTTTTTAACCATTTTGTTTCCTTATTTCCCATGATGCTGTAATTACTGTGAAACTAGAGTAAATAAACCTAGTGATGTGGTATCCAGGATGACACACTTGGCAGATGGCCAGTTAGGGATGAGACTGGCATCATTGAACAGTCCTATTTTGGGAGGTCATTGATTTACAGATGACGTGCTGAACTTTTTGGGTGAGGAGAGGGCCAGGAAGGAGACTCATATTTCAAAAGGTTTGGAGGAGGGAGAAGAAGATGGGAGGGGGAAGGAGGACGACCAATTGTATGTGATTAATCCCACAAGTCAGCAATAATTATAATGGGTGACACCTTACAGTTTACAGATTGCTTTCACTTGTGTTATATTGTTTCACTGACTCCTCACAGCTGATGAAGTCAGATAAAATTCAAGGCCTGAAGTATTTGGCTTCAGGAAAACATAGAAAAAAGACATCATGACTTTTCAGACAACCATATGTATATATAATGTATATATATAATATATATTATTTGACCTTGAGTAAAAGGTTAATTTTAATTTATAATCTTAACATGTAGCATGTAATTTTGGTAGATTGTTGTTTTAGATGTTTTAGATCTGGGTTGCCAATATGTTTTTGAAGGAGAGGGTGGCAGGAAACTTCCCAAACACTGACGTGCTGGTTGTAATGGTCAGGCTAGGGAAAACCACATGTGTCTGTAAGAAAGAAAGAAGGCTTATAAGAAAACCCTGTTTCCTTTTTGATCAGTTTGTTGATTGACCTTTTCTGTATATTCCCCTCCACCCCTACCCCTTGTACTACGAATATGTAGACAACCAATGAAATGAAGTAATATATTTGGGAAAAAAGTAGCTGAAAACACTAACCTCTTTAGTACCTCCCAGTTCTGTACTATGATGAACCCCATTTTATAGATGCTGAAATAAGTGAAGTTTTCAGTATTGAACCTTTTTAAGAATATGACTTTTAGAAGGTGAATGGCAACAAAATAAGCTAATCAAGGATTAAGTTTATTTTAAAATTGCCATTTGAATGCTCTAGGTTTGGGACATAAATATTTAACTCGTTTGTCGCTTCTGTTTACTTTTGCGTCTGTCTTGATCACAGAACCCTGAAATACGGAGGCAGTCTGTAGTGGGAGATTCCTGAGGAAGCCCATATGAGCCTGGGGATCTTGAGTCTGTATTTTAGGCCCTGTCAGTTAACTAATTTTAGACGTGTCACTTTACATAAGTGAGCTTTCTCCTGTGTAAAATGTGTGTTGTGCTGTTTTAAAGTTTCATGATTCTTTGTTTCATTAACTGAAGAAGCTGCCTCCAAATCTTTTTGGACTAAGCTGGAGGGAATATAAATGAAAACTTAGGGGAGGAAAATGGACTAATACATTTTGAAGAAGTTTTCAACAGTAAGCGTTGAAAGGCCTCCCTTTAACCGAAAGCAGCTAAGCAAAATACCACATTCCTTGAAAATGGCAACTAATGTCGGTTTCCCCATACAATATTACGTTTCCTTTATCAGTAGGAAGTCGCCGTGTGGGGGTGTCCTGAAAACGCCGGG